TGAGTAAGACTTAGGCTATCATGGGGTTTGCCACCTAATTGGGAGGGAAGCCTAGGGTTAGATGTTGACATCTGAATAACCTGGGGAACCCCAAGTTGTGCGCGGCGCACAATCCTAAACAATTCAGCACTATGGACTGTGACGTGACCATTTATCACTGATTCAGCGCCGTGGACAGTTCGGCCAAGAAGGCCCGCCTGTTTATTGACACTGCTTCCAGTTCCCATTCCCCTTCCACCTAAACTTAGGTTGTAAAATGGTGACACGCATCTCTGCGTGGCTGGCAGATATCTCAGATTGGATTTTGGCCCATCACCTCACGCTCAACCTCGTCAAGGCGGAGCTGCTCTTCCTCCCGGGGGAAGGCCTGCCCGCTCAAAGACCTCTCCATCACGGTTGCCAACTCCACAGTGTCGCCCTCCCAGAGTGCAAAGAACCGTGGTGTGACCCTGGACAACCTTCCCAAGTTCTCCCATGTCACCCCGCTCCTCCGCACACTCCACCAGCTGCCAATCGAAGCTCGCATCCACTACAAGACCATGGTGCTTGCCTACGGAGCAGCAAGAAGAACTGCCCCTCCCTACCTTCAGGCTATGCTCAAACCCTACACCCCAACCCGAGCACTCTGTTCTGCCACCTCAGGTCTCTTGGCCCTCCCACCCCTACGGGAGGGCAGCTCCCGCTCAGCCCAGTCCAAGCTCTTCTCGGTCCTGGCACCCCGATGGTGGAACCAGCTTCCCCCTGAAGCTAGGACAGCAGAGTCCCTGCCCATCTTCCAAAAGCACCTATAACCCTACCTCTTCAAAGAGAATCTTTAAATAATCACCCTCCTCACCTCAACCCCCCCAATGCTTGCATAATTACTTAATAGAGGAAAAATGTACCTACTATGCCTGTGATATGTGGTTGTCCCACTTAGCTATCTTAAGATGAACTGTAAGTCGCTCTGGATAAGAGCATCTGCTAAATGACTAAAATGTAAATGTACTATTTTTTTATTGTGAACTAATTTCTCTGGATGTATTTAATCATGTACCCATGTGCTACATGCAATAGCAATAGGGTAAAACACTCATAGAGAAGACTAGAAAGAAGAGGAAATAAACATTTATCTAAATCAAAAACAGACAATGTGGGTATTATTCAGACATTAAAGTGAACCAAGCCCAATCCCTAAATGATTTAATATCCCTTATGACGCAGTACTTGCGTAGACTTATACTTCACTAGCCCTCTAATATTTCCATCACTTATTGTAGTTATGAAAATAATTGACTTCATTGTCCCATCTCACCAATTGCATATAGGACCATAGAGAATACTGGGGAATAATGACACAACTAAATGGATGAAACACATACGCCTGTGCGCTCTCTCTCTCTCTCCGTGCACGCACGCACGCACGCACACACGCACACACACACACACACACACACACAGTGTGTAGCCGTACGGCCTGGGATAGCAGGAAGGCCCAAACACTTGTCTCCAAGGTGATGTCAACAGTATGAAAACAGATGAGGAAGCATGTGTGGAATTTTACAGTATGGGCACCACTGCATCACTTCTTCCACCAGACTGTGTGTGTGGACGTGTTTAATTATACTTGTGGGGACCAGAAGTAACCAACTGGGGACATTTTGTTAGTCCCCACAAGGTCAAATGCTATTTCTAGGGGGTGTAGGGTTAAGGTTAGAATTAGGATTAGAATTAGGATCAGGAGCTAGGGTTAGGTTTAGGTTTAAGGTTAGGTTTTCAGGTTAAGGTTAGTGTTAGGATTATGGTTAGGGTACCGGTTAGGTTAAGGGTTAAGGAAAATAGAATTTTGAGGCAGCCTGCCACAGTGCTGACTGTCATGGCATTGTGTGATGGAACCATGGTAACACATCAGCCAAGACATTGGATGTGGAAGTGATCACACATCACAGGAGCTACCTATCAATCTACACTGAACAAATATATAAACGCAACATGTAAAGTGTTTGTCCCATGTTTCCTGAGCTGAAATAAAAGATCACAGAAATTGTCCATATGCACAAAAAACGTATTTCGCTCAAATTTTGCACACAAATTTTGCGCACAAATTTGTTTACATCCCTGTTAATGAACATTTCTCCTTTGCCAAGATAATCCATCCACCTGAATGTGCAGTTTTGTCACACAACACAATGCCACAGATGTCTCAAGTTGAGGGAGCGTGCAATTGGCATGCTGACTGCAGGAATGTCCACCAGAGCTGTTGCCAGCTAATTTAATGTTCATTTCTCTACCATAAGCTGCCTCAAACATAATTTTAGAGAATTTGGAAGTCCAACCGGCCTCACAACCGCAGACCACGTGTAACCACACCAGCCCAGGACCTCCACATCCGGCTTCTTCACCTGCAGGATCGTCTGAGACCAGCCACACGGACAGCTGATGAAACTGTGGGTTTAAAAATAAATGGGATACTGTCATTAACGGGGTTCTTCAATGATTATGCGTAACAGTTGTTTGATGCGAATTTTATGTCTAGCTGTTTAGTTACGAGGGGACATTATCGCGTTACATCATCTGATTCAGGAAAGGATTTTCTGAATGACAGTCAAGTGATAAAGAGCTCCTGTTATACCGCCTGCGATTGAACAATAGCCGAAATGCCAGGAATTAATGTTCTCGAGGAAGGACAAAACATTTGTGTCCATGTTAAGGCGGTCAAGATAATTAGCCTACTTCGTGGACAACAAGATTACGGTCAGTGTACGTTTTGATCGTTTGTTTTCCGAGTTAAAATGGAGCAATAAGGAATGTGAAAACGGCTAATTGTTTTTTTTTTTTAAATAAAATAAAAATAATAATAATGACTTGACATTTCGAATTTCACATGCGAGTGGTGTTAAATGTGGAATGCCTGTCATTGGTCAAGTGCACAGCTAACACTTCATGTCTTTTCAAAGTAGGCGTTCCCCCTTCCAACTCCATTCTATGAATCTATGATCTATTAATTAATCTCTTCAACTACACAGAACTGCCTGATTAGCCTGATATGGTGCCGTGGGTGTGTCCAGATTACACCTGTGCAAATCTGTTTGTCCAGCAATGGAATTAAACATCCAACCATGCCTCAAGTGTTGTGCTGAAGGTCCACCACAAACCGGAAGGGTTGTGTGGTCCGGTCCAGAAACAACCCCTACCCCCTAGAGACTTGTGGAGATCTGGGCAGCAGGTAGTCAAGTGGTAAAGAGTGTTGGGCCAGTAACCGAAAGGTTGCTGGTTTGAATCCCTGAGCCGATTAGGTGAAAAATCTGTAGATGTGGCTTTGAACAAGGAATTTAACCCTAATTGTGCCTGTAAGTCGCTCTGGATAGGTGTGTTTGCTAAATGACAAAAATTTACAAATGTAAATTTGAGAGGATTGGACAGGTGCAAGCAATATGGCCAAAATTCCACCAAGCCAATCAGAGGGTAAAGGTGGAGCTTTCACCATGCCACCACCCATCAATCCCTCTCAGATCTCCACAAGTGTCTAGACTCTGGAGGGAAGGGGCTAGGGGTTGTTTCTGGACAGGCCAAGGGTATTATGGTAGCTCCGTCATTGTCTACATTTTTTTATATATCTGTCAAATACTTGCTTCCTCTGTCCTCGGGAGAATCTCAATTGCATTTCCTTGATTCGTCACATCCTCTGTCCTCGTCTCCTTCCCTCATCCCCCCCCCCCCCCCCCCCCCCCCAATGGGTTTTGAGGAGGCGAGAGGACGTGAGGATGCAATTGAGATTTTCCCTTGTTTCCTCCATTCCTCACCTCCCTTTCAAAGCACATAAGGGGAGATGAGTGAAGGTTCCTCCCTCGGGCTCCAATGCACTTTCAAAGAGAGGCAAGGAGTGGAGGAAACAAGGACAGAGGAAGCAAGCGTTTGACGGCTAGTTTTTCCAGACTCTGGCGCACGCACATACACAATGCTTGAAGAGTTTACTGATTATATAGATTTCATTATTATTATTAACGATTTTCTTGACAGAACCCATTGTATTATTTTATTATATCGTATTAAAAAAAGATAGAAGCTGTTTATCTTTTCCATTCTTCAGGAATGTTTTGCATGGCTATAAATTATAGAGAAGTTGACTAAAGCACAAACAGACCTGGCTACTAGGCATGACAAAGGAACATGCAGTGTCCATGTTTCTTGTGACATGTAGATGTTTTGTTGTTGCTAGGTGGCGTGGTGGTCTCATTATGCCTACCTAGACATTTATTCCTGTAACTACACATGTGAAACTGCAAGAAAATCATATTTAAACCTATATTACATTTTGTACAAGACACACATTGGCCCCTTTATTTGTAGAAAGACCCATATACACATATTACAGACACCACCAGTATGTACACCACTATTCCCACTTATTTGAATGACCAGTCACCAGTGCACATTCTCGCAATTTTTTTTATATTCATCATCAATAACATACCTTTTCTTCAAGTCTTGCTAAGATCTCAGATAGAGTGAACAGTAAAGAGGTACAATAGAAAGTAGTTATTTTGTTTTATTCTACACACCAAACTAACAATGGAATATAAAGTATCATGGAGTGTCTGTTGAGGTAAAAACATCACAGCTGTTGGCCCTAAATACACCCCCCCTCCCCTCCCCTCCCACTTCCATATGCAGTGCGGATATCAGGGAATTGTCAATGGTTTGGAACCCCATTTCAGCCAATCAGATGGCAGATTCCTCCGAACCGGTTTTATAAATACAGTTATTCACAATAAGAAATTACAGAAAAACACATCCTTTCCATCTATACTTCTGTAACCATTTCAGTTTCAATATAAACACTTTGGGGAAATACTAAGGTAGGTTCACTTTTTATGCCATGATTATCTTGTTCTCAGAAAACTACACACACCTGCATCTGAACTATTAGATACATTCACAGACTCAGTAAATCTGTAGCATGTTGTGCTTATAGGACCAGCCTATTAGTGGAACATGTGACATGATGGGGCCACGACCCATCAGAGAATGGTGTCCTCGCTCTCTTCAGAGTGTATACTGAGCTGAGATTTGAACTGTGACTTCCTCTGTGTTGTGATGGCCGCCCAGACACGACACAGCATCCCTCCTCTGTGGAGGAGAAACAGGAACAGTTACAGTAAAAAACAACCATTACAGTACAGACCGTTTGTGTGTGTGTGTCCATGTGTGTGTGTCACATCCATACACCCTCAGACTGCACAGAACAGTGGTCACATCCACATGTATACACATTGACACATATCATCTCAGCGATTTACAGTACAATAACATAACCATCCAAACAGAAAACAGTGGGTTTTCCTCACTAGCGCAGATCAGTTGTTTCCTGTTTCTGCTTTAAGGATGTGTGAACATGATTGGAGGAGGCAGTTCACCTTATGGCACAGTACATCAAGTCATCCCTGCAGGCCATGGTGAGGAGACAGTCCAAGGTGAACTCGTGAGAGAGTAACTAGAAATAAAAGCACACAGTGTGAATTCTACTTACACAACATCAGTGAGAACAAGCCTCTAGCAAACACTGACTGAAACTGAAATACCTTATAAAGAGAATTTAGTCATAATGGATTACTTTTTTATATATTTTCCGTGGTATAGACTTTTGTGACTAAGGCTTACTCTTTTCACCAGTTAGATGGTTCATTCCAATCACGTAGTTACCTATCAATCAATAGTCACCCCATATTTTGGTAACCAATCCCACATCATTAAATCACAAAGTATTTTAGAAGTTCCTTACCTTGTCTATGGTGTCCTGATCTACTGGGATAGCCTTCAGCCAGAAAACCAAGGATTTGACTTCTGGGTTAGAACTTATCTGCAGGGACAACTCTGTATCTACAGGAGGATGAGAAGACAAGTTGGTATGGTCTGGTCACCAGTTTGCGCAATCATGCTACTAAGCTGAACATTCTGAGTATTTCAAATGCAGATTTTCAGTAATGGTTAAGGTGTTAGACTGACAGTCACAGGGACTGAGGTTGAGTCCCAGTCGGGGCTATTCGCAACAGTATACTTTAACATGGTTAAAGGAAGTAAACCTGACAGATGCAAAGCAAAAGCGTTAATTAGGGTCTTATAAACAAAAACAGTCCACCATTTTCCTATGCCAGTTTCTAATCATTATTATGACTGACACATCTGGTTCGAAGTCTCGAATCTCACCAGCAATGAGCTACACGCCTTAAACTCAAACCAGTAGAGCAGAAATCCACTGGCTGAGGGTGAGGTGTGGAGAGATTTAGAAACACAGGGTGTGAATCACAAGGCCTATAGAGCTACTGATTAATACCAAGTGTCTCAATGGCATTACATCTCTCCATTTTAGGAATATTACAGTAGGCAGGCTGTAACCTGTGGGGCCACTGTCATACCACAAGCTTCAACCTCAAGTGTCTACATGCATACACAAACACTCAACTCTTTTGTTGATATTCATAATTGTTTTGGCACTGAGTGTTCGGTCTTGCTACATGCTAAGGTGTGGCAGAGTGACACAGATTTTAGCTCACTAAGGTACTTCACCAGAACGTATAATGGTAACCAACACACCTGCCCTAAATGTGCAGACATTAGCAACAGTCAGACTGCTTTGGGAGGGAGTAGGAGGTGAAAACATTACCTGTGGGTTCTGATGTTTTCCTGGTAGTGTCGATCTGATCCTGTCTCCTCTGGACAGAGTTCCTCAGTAGCTCCTGGTATTCCCTCTCTTTCTCACTCAGCTGGGTCAGCAGTCTGAAACACACACTTAGTCATTATGGACCAGGTCTGAAGTAACAGTACATTTCACTATTTACACATATCATTTCACTGCCCATATTGTAACTGGTTGCAATGTAATCCTTGGTGGTGTGCTGGCATCGTTCACTGAATCTGTAGGAATTGCCTTCTTTTCTTTCCATTTTAAAGCCCATTATACTAGAGGTGAAATAAAAGGAAACCCCACATCAAATGTGGAATAAATAATAAAATGGCTATACAAATGCATTTTTGTCATACCAATAAAGCATTTGGAAATGTAATATAAACAGCTAAGTAAATGGTACTGAACCTGCGAGTCTCTAGCCGTAGATCTCTCAGTTTGTGACTGAGGGGACAGTTAGTGTTGTACTGGAGGCCATTGGGCAAGCAAGGGCTTTCTGGAACCTCCTCTATGGTCTCTGTGTCAGCTGGCGCCACCACCTGGTCATCTGACAAAACTGCAGGCAGAGTCTCTGCTAGCTCACTGGGCTGCTGCTCTCTCTCTGGGCTACTCTCCTCCTTCTCAAAGGAAGACTGCAGCTGGAGCTTGAGCTCTGAAAGTCATTGAGGTGTGTGTGAGCAGGAGTGTGTGTGTGGTGTGTGGGGATTTGGGAGGTGGTGAGATTCTTATATACAGTATTATTTTTAATTATTATAATTTTTTGTACTTTTACCCCTTTTTCTCCCCAATTTTTGTGATATCCAATTGGTAGTTACAGTCTTGTCCCATCGCTGCAACTCCCCTACGGACTTTGGTGAGGCGAAGGTTGAGAGCCATGCGTCCTCCGAAACACGACCCTGCCAAGCCGCACTGCTTCTTGACACACTGCTCGCTTAACCCGGAAGCCAGCCGCACCAATGTGTCGGAGGAAACACCGTCCAACTGGCGACCGAAGTCAGCTTACAGGTGCCCGGCCCGCCACAAGGAGTCGCTAGATCGCGATGGGACAAGGAAATCCCGGCCGGCCAAACCCTCCCCTAACCCGGACGACGCTGGGCCAATTGTGCGCCACCTCATGGGTCTCCCGGTCATGGCTGGCTGTGACACAGCCTGGGATCGAACCCAGGGCTGTAGTGACTCCTCAAGCACTGCAATGCAGTGCCTTAGACTGCTGTGCCACTCGGGAGGCAGAGGTAGTGAGGTTTTTGAATGGCGAGGATGAACTCAATTCCAAATTCCAGTCATATCATGAAATTGAACTGTTGTTCTATAAGGAATTTCCATGTCCAATTTAACTGATAGAAGTTGATAGAATTGGGCCCGACTCTGCTGGTTCTTACCTGGTAACAGTACAGTGATGGCGTCCTGCACGGCCTGCCTTAGCAGATTATCCAGAGCAAACATCCAGTGAGGTTTCACCTGCTGCTGCCTCAACACTTTTTTCACCTGCACACACGAGGGAGTGAGAAGAACGGGTTAGCACAACAGTATTGGGTGTGATGCAGAGCCTGTGGTCGAGTGGTAAAACTCCTGGCATACATTATTTTTTTATTTTTCATACGACTCCCAATGTTCAATCCCACGTCCACCCTTCCCACTGTTTCTCCATCCTTGCCTTGTGATCACTAACTATCTCATACCTGGGGAACCATGTGTGTGAAATATATGGCCAATCAATGACAGTACGTCATCTTTCACGTGCCAGGGAGAAATGGAAACTGGCAGGGCTACTGCCCTCAAGGACTGGCGTTGCAACTCCTGGGTCTGGAGAGCGGATGTTCTCCCGCAGGCAGCCAATCAGCTCAGAGATATGCTCTGAGGTCACGGACGCAACGTCTGTCTGCTTAGAGGCAAGGAGAGAGGAAACATTATAAAAGGATTATAGGCAAAGAAACCTACAAATGTCAAATGTAGACAAACACTCATTCTTTCACACCTAATGTACAGCAGACACCTAATAAGGGTATACTCAGTCTATGTGCCTTGTGGTCCTTTGTAGCTCAGTTGGTAGAGCATTGGCGCTTGTAACGCCAGGGTAGTGGGTTTGCTTTCCCGGGACCACCCATACGTAAAATGTATGCGCGCATGACTAAGTCTGCTTAATGGCATATATTATTATTATTATTATTATTTTACCATACATTGTCTTTAATTGCTCTGGATATATGCATGCTCCGATCGGTTGAGTGCATGCCCTCATAACAATCCTAAGCCATTGCATTTATCAGGAGTTGACTGTTTCTCAATAAGGGATAGATACTTCTCTGGGCCATATTCAAAAAGTGTCAAAGAGTAGAAGTACTGATCTAAGATCAGGTCCATCCTGTCTTATTTATTATGATCTAAAAGGCAAAACTGAGCCTCGAACAGCACTCCTACTCTGACACTCTTGATACATACAGCCCAAGATCTCTCTCTCTCTCTACCTGAGGTAATGTATTCTGGATGTTGTGCACCACATCGGTGATGTACTCAGTGAGGATCCTGTGCAGTGTGGCCCTCCTCTCGCTGTCCTTCCTCAGTAGGAACAGGCCCAGGTTCTCTCCTGACGTGTGGCTGGACTAGCCGTCATGTCCACAGTACTGGGCTCCTCTGACACCCTGGCCACCACAAGGGGGAGACAGAGAGACACCAATGTCACCGAGATAAAACATTCTGCCATACAAATATGGTCTTGGCAATATATAGCATGGGCTCTATCTCAATTGCTTGAAAATTTGACCTCTCCTCTACTCCTCCCTTCTATCTGCAGTGATTGGAAAATAAGACAATATGGTGGAAGCTGGATTTCTCTGACAATTTAGGTTATCTATTGCATTACATTTACAGTAAGGCAATGATCTACAATGAAGTTGTTTCACAAATCTGATGTAATTACATTGGGAACCAGAGGGTATAGGATGTTTTGACTCACGGCAGGACGCGTCTGGTGCTGGGTGGGCTCTCTGTAATGTAATTTCCTCTGAGGGGGGAGATAGTCCTCCGGAGGTCCCAGGAGCACGACAGGTCCATCCTGTCAGTGTCTCTGTCTGTATCTGTCACACGTATAGACACTGGGACAGACATACTCCGCTGGTAGATGTCACCTACAGGACACAAAGCAGGGCAGAGTCATTAGCACAGTAATGGTGACGGAAATGGCGATGATCATAGCGTTTCTGAATTAGGAAGACAATACACAGACAAGGGCAATAACCATTAATATTTCTGACAATTATGAAAATAATGAATAATAAGTCTGGCGATTGAAACTATAATGATGATTCTTTTTTTCCCTTTTTAAAAGGAGATCGAAATTCAGATCCCGTTTTGTATTTTATTTGTATTTTTAAAAGAAGCAGAGACGGATAGACAGATAGACAAATAGACAGATAGACATAGTAGACGGCACAGATAGGAGTGGCCAAGAAAGGGCGTGCGTTACCATCGTCGGGGGGTATGTGGTCCGGAGTAGGCAGTGCTACCACAAGACCAGACTCTGGCACAGATGATGATTGATGATGATAATGATGACTATAAAAATGATGATGACGATAACTATGATGATAATGGTGATTTAAATTAACATTATCTATAACTATAACATTGATGATGATGATTCACCAGCATCTGTAGGCAGTGTGTCAGGCTGGGGCTTGGCCTTCCTCCGGGAGGTGGACTTGAGGAAGGAGTCCTTGAGCAGCTCAGAGGCCGTGGCTCTGTTGTCTGGGTCCGGGGTGAAGCAGCTCATGATGCAGCCTTTGGCCTCACCTGACATACACTCCGGCACCTCCGGGTGGATCTTGAACATACCAACCTAGAGGGAGACGGGAACAGAGTACATACACTTCAGGGTTGTGTTCAGTAGGGCATGCAACGTAAAAAACGTTTTGCAAAGGAAACTGAGTTTCTTATTGGACAAGTTCAGGTAGACCCTATCTGTTTCAGTCGGTCTTCAGTTTGATATTCAGAGGTACTTACAAGGTATAGGCTACAATGTAATAACATACTAATTACCAAACCTTTTGGTTTCTAAGAGAAAGATTACCTTGAACATGGCTGCCTGTGGGCTGCCCAGCTCGTGGAAGGGTGGTTTCCCCGTGGCCATCTCTATGATGGTACAGCCCAAGGACCAGATGTCTGCAGGCTTCCCATAACCCCGCGGGCCCTGGTCGATGATCTCTGGAGCCATGTACTGCAGGGTCCCTACAACACCACAGAGACATTTAGACACCTGCCTACACAAACATGTAGGCAACACATGTAAATAATATTCATACCAACAAAGTCAAATACAATGTTCATATGCAAAAAGAATGGCCACATACCCAACCACACTCATACAAAAGCTTCAAACAAACACACGCACACCCACAAACCTGTAAAGGTCTCTGTGCAGGGGTTGATTCCAGCCAGTCGTTTCGAGGTGCCAAAGTCAGAGATCTTCAGAACACCACTGTAGGTGTTAATCAGCACGTTGTCACCCTGTGAGGAAATGACTAGTTTCTTACACTGGATACACTTTCTACACAAAAAACATGGTAACACATTAGTAGTTGAGTAAGCAACATACACCAGGGTCATGCTCAGTAGGGCACAACGTAGCAAAACAATTTGAAATGGAAAACAAAAAGGAGTGTTTCTTAAGTCCAGGAAGTCCCTCCCTGTTTCACTCCGTTTTCTGCCATTTGGTCCCTAATGAACACGACCCAGCTCTGACAGTGTGAATAAAAATCTGCTGTAGTATTGGTACTTTTTTGAACATTTATTTAGCAACAACAACAATAAATGGTATCCTTGCGGACACTTCACCTTGATGTCTCTGTGGACTATCTGGTTGTCATGGAGATACTTAAGCCCTTCCAGGATCTGCTTGGTGTAGAAAATGATGGTGGCCTCATTGTCTTTCAGGGGTCCCCATTTGGAACGCAGGAGAGAGGACAAGCTTCCTACATGGGAGAGATGACATTGGAATGGGTTACGGTTAGATATGCAAGGGATTCAATTTAGGATTACCAACACCTCTGGGCCTCATTTCCCAGTTGCAATGTAACTTAAGCATTACGATGACGTACCAGATGCATCGTTATACAGTGGGGAGAACAAGTATTTGATACACTGCCGATTTTGCAGGTTTTCCTACTTACAAAGCATGTAGAGGTCTGGAATTTTTATCATAGGTACACTTCAACTGTGAGAGACAGAATCTAAAACAAAAATCCAGAAATTCACATTGTATGATTTTTAAATAATTAATTAGCATTTTATTGCATGACATAAGTATTTGATACATCAGAAAAGCAGAACTTAATATTTGGTACAGAAACCTTTGTTTGCAATTACAGAGATCATACGTTTCCTGTAGGTCTTGACCAGGTTTGCACACACTGCAGCAGGGATTTTGGCCCACTCCTCCATACAGACCTTCTCCAGATCCTTCAGGTTTCGGGGCTGTCGCTGGGCAATATGGACTTTCAGCTCCCTCCAAAGATTTTCTATTGGGTTCAGGTCTGGAGACTGGCTAGGCCACTCCAGGACCTTGAGATGCTTCTTACGGAGCCACTCCTTAGTTGCCCTGGCTGTGTGTTTCGGGTCATTGTCATGCTGGAAGACCCAGCCACGACCCATCTTCAATGCTCTTACTGAGGGAAGGAGGTTGTTGGCCAAGATCTCGCGATACATGGCCCCATCCATCCTCCCCTCAATACGGTGCAGTCGTCCTGTCCCCTTTGCAGAAAAGCATCCCCAAAGAATGATGTTTCCACCTCCATGCTTCACGGTTGGGATGGTGTTCTTGGGGTTGTACTCATCCTTCTTCTTCCTCCTCCAAACACTGCGAGTGGAGTTTAGACCAAAAAGCTATATTTTTGTCTCATCAGACCACATGACCTTCTCCCATTCCTCCTCTGGATCATCCAGATGGTCATTGGCAAACTTCAGACGAGCCTGGACATGTGCTGTCTTGAGCAGGGGGACCTTGCGTGCGCTGCAGGATTTTTATTCATGACGGCGTAGTGTGTTACTAATGGTTTTCTTTGAGACTGTGGTCCCAGCTCTCTTCAGGTCATTGACCAGGTCCTGCCGTGTAGTTCTGGGCTGATCCCTCACCTTCCTCATGATCATTGATGCCCCACGAGGTGAGATCTTGCATGGAGCCCCAGACCGAGGGTGATTGACTGTCATCTTGAACTTCTTCCATTTTCTAATAATTGCGCCAACAGTTGTTGCCTTCTCACCAAGCTGCTTGCCTATTGTCCTGTAGCCCATCCCAGCCTTGTGCAGGTCTACAATTTTATCCCTGATGTCCTTACACAGCTCTCTGGTCTTGGCCATTGTGGAGAGGTTGGAGTCTGTTTGATTGAGTGTGTGGACAGATGTCTTTTATACAGGTAACGAGTTCAAACAGGTGCAGTTAATACAGGTAATGAGTGGAGAACAGGAGGGCTTCTTAAAGAAAAACTAACAGGTCTGTGAGAGTCGGAATTCTTACTGGTTGGTAGGTGATCAAATACTTATGTCATGCAATAAAATGCAAATTAATTACTTAAAAATCATACAATGTGATTTTCTGGATTTTTGTTTTAGATTCCGTCTCTCACAGTTGAAGTGTACCTATGATAAAAAATTACAGACCTCTACATGCTTTGTAAGTAGGAAAACCTGCAAAATCGGCAGTGTATCAAATACTTGTTCTCCCCACTGTACATCATGAAACACTTTGAAGCAAAAATGACAGACAATATCCTAGTCGCAAAATAGAACTCAATTGATTTAACATGACATTGATTTCAATATGATTGAAATAGCCTATGTAGGCTATGTATATTTTAATGCAGTCATCTCGGTTTTCATTCGATGCATAATTTTATTCTTCACTTGTTTGTAACAATTGCAAATACTTTGGCAACTTTGTATTTGTAGTCAACTTGGTTCTGAAGATATCGGCAGTCCCAGTCAGACAGATAGCATAACCATCTTGATTCTATGTTTAGCAAAGATCTTCTGTGAATAAAGTGACACGAAAGGGCAAAAAAGCATCGAACGATGCACTTTGGCTGCTCTACGAGTGGTCTGGATCACTAGATGTGCCACATTACTAACGAAGGCTCTGGGAAACACCTCGGCTACTAAAGATACAAGGTAAGAAGGTTCTAACGATGATCTTAGCGCTACGAAGGCTCTGGGAAACAAGGCCCAGGATATTCACAATGATAAAATGTCTGAATTATTTTCACATTTTTTAACACTGGTATATCAGTGACTTCATTGCATTGTGAAATCCCTTTTTCTCAATTGCTGAGATAGTGGAAACACCCACACTTCCTGTGTGATATCCTGCCTGTAGCTATTGCACTGAATTAGACACACACACACACTGTCACGCCCTGACCTGGAGAGACTTATTATTTGGGTAATTTGGTCAGGGTGTGAAAATCTGTTTTGTAGTTCTATGTTTGACCAGGTGTGATTCCCAATCAGAGGCAGCTGTTGCTCATTGTCTCTGATTGGGGATCATACTTAGGCAGCCAGTTTGCCTGCCTGGGTTGTGGGATCTTGTTTGTGTTTCGGTGTGTTTGGCTTGTTAGTGTATAGCCTTCCGACGTCACGTTTTGTTGCCGTTTGTTGTTTTGTCAGTGTTTATCCAGTTTAATAAACATGTTCGCATACCACGCTGCACCTTGGTCTGACCCGTCTCTCAATGTTCGTGACACACAAACACCAAAAGACCTCCAGACACAGACTTAGTAGAAACTAAAATACGATCATTTCGTAACGTTCCGGTGGTTTTCACTAACCCTTCACAAGAGCATGTAGCTGAAATTGTAGGGTGTGATTTGTGCCATCATTTTTATAATGATAACATGTGAATGCTATCCCCTCCTTTTTATTATCACTTATGTGATTGCTCCATACTGAGTCAGTGATGCTTCCCAACATGGGTGTAATGACAACGCCTCTTCCCCCTCAGGAGGCTGAAAATATTTGTCTTCTCTCTGCTACTGCACTGCAAGCGGTAACGGAGAACCAAGTCTGGGACCAAAAGGCTCCTGAACAGCTTCTACACCCAAGCCATAGGACTGCTGAACAGTTACTCAAATGGCTACCCGGACTATTTATAGTGCATTCGGAAAGTATTCAGACCCCTTGACGTTTTCCACATTTTGTTATGTTACAGCCTTATTCTAAAATTGATTAAATCGATTTTTCGTTATAAATCTACACACAATACCCCATAATGACAAAGCAAAAACAGGTTTTAGAAATGTTAGCAAATGTATTACAAATAAAAACGGAAATATTATATTTACATAAGTATTCAGACCCTTTACTCAGTACTTTGTTGAAGCACCTTTGGCAGCAATTACAGCCTCGAGTCTTCTTGGATACGTATGACGCTACAAGCTTGGCACACCTGTATTTGGGGAGTTTCTCCCATTCTTCTCTGCAGATCCTCTCAAGCTCTGGCAGGTTGGATGGGGAGCGTCGCTGCACAGCTATTTTCAGGTCTCTCCAGAGATGTTCAATCGGGTTCAAGTCCGGGCTCTTGCTGGGCCACTCAAGGATATTCAGAGACTTGTCCCGAAGCCACTCCTGCATTGTCTTGGCTGTGAGCTTAGGGTCGTTGTCCTGTTGGAAGGTGAAGCTTCACCCCAGTCTAAGGTCCTGAGTGCTCTGGAGCAGGTTTTCATCAAGGATCTCTCTGTACTTTGCTCCGTTCATCTTTCCCTCGATCCTGACTATTCTCCCAGTCCCTGCCGCTGAAAAACAGACGTGACGCTTGGCATTCAGGGCAAAGAGATCATTCTTGGTTTCATCAGACCAGAGAATCTTGTTTCTCATGGTCAGAGTCCTTTAGGTGCCTTTTGGCAAACTCCAAGCGGGCTGTCATGTGCATTTTACTGAGGAGTGGCTTCCGTCTGTCACACCCTGGCTCTGGGACTCATTATGTTGAGCCAGGGTGTGTGCATTCTATGTGTTCATGTTCTATGTTGGGTGTCTAGGTTGTCGATGTCTATGTTTGTATTGAGTGACTCCCAATCGGAGGTAACGAGTGTCAGCTGTCGGCTCGTTATCTCTGATTGGGAGCCATATTTAAACTGTGCGTCTTCACCTTGTGTTTGTGGGTTTTTGTTCCGTGACGGTATGTTTAACCGTGGACTTCACGAATCGTGTTTTGTTTATATTTAGGAACTTTAATTAAATAAAGTCATGTTTATTTCACACGCTGCGCCTTGGTCTACTACTCCTTACCCAGACGATCGTGACAGAAAAACCCACCATACCAGGACCAAGCAGCGTGTCCAGGAACAGGCAACCTGGACGTGGGAGCAGCGTCGGAGGGTCGAGAGGCAACCCCAAGAAATTTTTAGGGGGGGGCACACGGCATGGACGACGGAGGCAAAGATGGGGCGAATCCAGGAGGCCACCAGGCCAGGGGTACACCGCCCTGTACGTCCTGTGCGGATGCCTCACACAGAGTGTGTGAGGGTAGGCATTCAGCCAGGACGGGTGGTGGCCGCTGTTCACTCCAGGCCTCCTATCCGTCTCCACAGCCCGGTCCGGCCTGTTCCTGCCACCCGCACCAAGTCTACGGTGCGCGTCGCCAGCCCGGTCCGGCCTGTTCCTGCCACCCGCACCAAGTCTACGGTGCGCGTCGCCAGCCCGACCCGGCCTGTTCCTGCCACTCGCACCAAACCTACGGTGCGCGTCGCCAGCCCGGTCTGGCCTGTTCCTGCCACCCGCACCAAGTCTACGGTGCGCGTCGCCAGCCCGACCCGGCCTGTTCCTGCCACTCGCACCAAACCTACGGTGCGCGTCGCCAGCCCGGTCCGGCTTGTTCCTGCCACCCGCACCAAGTCTACGGTGCGCGTCGCCAGCCCGACCCGGCCTGTTCCTGCCACTCGCACCAAACCTACGGTGCGCGTCGCCAGCCCGGTCCGGCCTGTTCCTGCCACCCGCACCAAGTCTACGGTGCGCGTCGCCAGCCCGACCCGGCCTGTTCCTGCCACTCGCACCAAACCTACGGTGCGCGTCGCCAGCCCAACCCGGCCTGTTCCTGCCACTCGCACCAAACCTACGGTGCGCGTCGCCAGCCCGGTCCGGCCTGTTCCTGCCACTCGCACTAAGCCAGGGGTGCGAGAAGTCAGCCTGGTAAGGCCCGTTCCTCCTCCACGCACAAAGCCAGGGGTGCGAGTCGTCAGCCTGGTAAGGCCCGTTCCTCCTCCACGCACCAAGCCTACGGGGTGCGTCGTCAGCCCTGTCCGGCTCGTTCCTGCTCTCCGCACCAAGTCTGTGGTGCGCGTCGCCAGCCCATTCCGGTCCATTCCTGTTCCACGCACCAAGCCAGGGGCGCGTGTCGTCAGCCTGGTAAGGCCCGTTCCTCCTCCACGCACCAGGCCAGGGGTGCGAGTCGACAGACTGGACCAGGGGCGCATTGGGGGGTGTATTGTAGGGTGGTGGTCAAGGCCGGAGCCAGAACCGCCACCGAGGAGGTATGCCCGCCCAGCCCTCCCCTGTTTGGGGTTTTTGAGGCGCGGTCGCAGTCCGCGCCTTTAGGGGGGGGGTACTGTCACACCCTGGCTCTGGGACTCATTATGTTGAGCCAGGGTGTGTGCATTCTATGTGTTCATGTTCTATGTTGGGTGTCTAGGTTGTCGATGTCTATGTTTGTATTGAGTGACTCCCAATCGGAGGTAACGAGTGTCAGCTGTCGGCTCGTTATCTCTGATTGGGAGCCATATTTAAACTGTGCGTCTTCACCTTGTGTTTGTGGGTTTTTGTTCCGTGACGGTATGTTTAACCGTGGACTTCACGAATCGTGTTTTGTTTATATTTAGGAACTTTAATTAAATAAAGTCATGTTTATTTCACACGCTGCGCCTTGGTCTACTACTCCTTACCCAGACGATCGTGACACCGTCTGGCCACTCTACCATAAAGGCCTGATTGGTGGAGTGCTGCAGAGATGGTTGTCCTCCTGGAAGGTTCTCCCATCTCCACAGAGGAACTCTGGAGCTCTGCCAGAGTGACCATCGGGTTCTTGGTCGCCTTCCTGACCAAGGTCCTTCTCCCCCAATTGCTCAGTTTGCCCGGGCGGCCAGCTCTAGGAAGAGTCTTGGTGGTTCCAAACTTCTTCCATTTAAGAATTATGGAGGCCACGGTGTTCTTGGGGACCTTCAATGCTGCAGACATTTTTTGCCTTCCCCAGATCTGTGCCTCAACACAATCCTGTCTCGGAGCTCTACGGACAATTCCTTCGACTTCATGGCTTGGTTTTTGCTCTGACATGCACTGTCAACTGTGGGACCTTATCTAGACAGGTGTGTGCCTTTCCAAATCATGTCCAATCAACTGACTTTACCACAGGTGGACTCCAATCCAGTTGTAGAAACATCTCAAGGATGATCAATGGAAACAGGATGCACCTGAGATCAATTTCGAGTGTCATAGCAAAGGGTCTGAATACCTATGTAAATAAGGTATTTCCGTTTTTATTTGTAATACATGTGCACAAAACAAAACATGTTTTCGCCTTTTCATTATGGGGTAGTGTGTGTAGATTGAGAATTATTTATTTTTTAAATCAATTTTAGAATAAGGCTGTAGCGTAACAAAATGTGGAAAAGTCAAGGGGTCTGAATACTTTCCGAATGCATTTTTTTGTACTGACATTCTTGCACTGGCTCTATGCACACTCACTGGACTCTACCCACAAACTCACGCATACTACACTGACACTCACACACACACACACACACACATATTGACGCCACACACACACACACACACGCTGCTGCTACTCTGTTTATTATCTATCCTGATTGCCTAGTCACTTTTATCCCTACCTACATGTACATATTACCTCAACTACCTCGTACCCCTGCACATTGGCTCAGTACTGGTACTTCTTGTATATAGCCTCGTTATTGTTATTTGTGTTACAATTTCCTTTTTTTGGCCATTTCCTTTTATTTTTTACTCTGCATTGTTAGGAAAAGGCTTGTACATTTCACATTTACATTTTAGTCATTTAGCAGACGCTCTTATCCTGAGCGACTTACAGTTAGTGAGTGCATACATAATTTTTTTTTTTTTTCATACTGGCCCCCCGTGGGAATTGAACCCACAACCCTGGCGTTGCAAACGCCATGCTCTACCAACTGAGCTACATCCCTGCCGGCCATTCCCTCCCCTACCCTGGACGACGCTGGGCTAATTGTGTGCCGCCCCATGGGTCTCCCGGTCTCGGCCGGCTACGACAGAGCCTGGATTCCAACCAGGATCTCTAGAGGCACAGCTAGCACTGCAATGCAGTGCCTTAGACCACTGCGCCACTCGGGAGGTTGTAAGTAAGCATTTCACAGTAAAGTCTACACCTATTGTATTTGGCACGTGACAAATAACATTTGATTTGAATGACAGTTTCATATTTAGGGGAGCAGAGAAAGATGAGCAATACTGAAAGTATTGATGAGAGAATGAGTGAATACAGTACCAGAGTGTGTGAGTGGTGGAGAGAGAATGAGTGAATACAGTACCAGAGTGTGTGAGTGGTGGAGAGAGAATGAGTGAATACAGTACCAGAGTGTGTGAGTGGTGGAGAGAGAATGAGTGAATACAGTACCAGAGTGTGTGAGTGGTGGAGAGAGAATGAGTGAATACAGTACCAGAGTGTGTGAGTGGTGGAGAGAGAATGAGTGAATACAGTACCAGAGTGTGTGAGTGGTGGAGAGAGAATGAGTGAATACAGTACCAGAGTGTGTGAGTGGTGGAGAGAGAATGAGTGAATACAGTACCAGAGTGTGTGAGTGGTGGAGAGAGAATGAGTGAATACAGTACCAGAGTGTGTGAGTGGTGGAGAGAGAATGAGTGAATACAGTACCAGAGTGTGTGAGTGGTGGAGAGAGAATGAGTGAATACAGTACCAGAGTGTGTGAGTGGTGGAGAGAGAATGAGTGAATACAGTACCAGAGTGTGTGAGTGGTGGAGAGATGAGTGAATACAGTACCAGAGTGTGTGAGTGGTGGAGAGAGAATGAAAGAAGGCGAATGAGTAGTAGAGAGACACACAAACTGAGAACTGAATACTGAAACCCTTAGTTATATGGCAGTTTAAAAGTTAATACAGGGCAGTATAAGATTTGCAAAACTTCCGTTCGTGAGAGAATGAATGAATACTGTACATACTGAGTGAAGGAGTGATAGAGAGAAAGACTGAAAGACAGACAAATCATTTGTAGTAGAGAAAGTTGAAATTTGAACACTGAATAAACTGGTTCTGTGTGACCTGGTTTATGGGACAATAGAAACAGAATGAGATTTAATCTAGAATATATTTGAAATAGATTATATTTCTATGCTCTGTACCTCCAGGAACCTCCTCCATAAAGATCTTGATGAAGCCGTCCTGACTCAGAGAGCCCAGGTACTGAACGATGTTCCTGTGCTTCAGCCTCTTGTGCAGAGCCATCTCCTCATGCAGAGGCTGGGAGTAACTGAGATTCACAGAGATGGTGAGAAAACCAACCAGATTAGCATAGCATTACCAAATGGGACAGTGTACATCTGCCGTTATAACAACATTGCTACAAAACATAAATGATGTTAGCGCTAGCTGTGCTGTCATTGAAAAACAACATAAAAGTTACACACTCTAATCTTGCAGTTGTGCTGACATTGACATGGTGTAGCTGTGACCATACTGTATGAATTTGATGAGAGCTTTACAAGCACCCGTCATATGCTGCTTTGGTCTATGTGGCCATTAGTTCCATAGAGGAACTAAGTACTAACATTTCCTCGTAAACAAGGAATGGAAAAATCAAAATAGACATCCATCTCTTCAGGGAGTAGATTCCAGTGTAGAGCTATGGGGACACTGGACACATTTTTTTCCTCCACAGAGAACCATTACACATTTGGCATGCTGAGGAAAACATCTGTGCATTCATCACTTATCGTTTCACTCACAATTGTATAATATATTATACGTATTAGGCTAAAATAATAATTCGGATTTACGGTATAATGTGCGAAGAAATGTAGCCTGGTCACAGATCTGTTTGTGCTGTCGTGTCAACAACTATGGTCATTGTTTGACAATACAGCAAAAACAGATCTGGGACCAGTCAAAAACAAATGTGTTTTCCATACGTGCTGTCTTTCTCTGGGATCTCCTTAATGGCGATGCGGACTTGGTTGCTCAGGTCCCTCCCAGCATACACCACGCCATAGGTTCCTTTACCCAGAACCACCTTCTCTCCATTTTCGCTGGTCTCATAGATAAACTGCAGGAGATAAGGGAGAAGGTTTCATTCAACAGGAAGGTAGGTGTGAAACTAAATGTGTGTGTGTGTGTCATTGAAAATGTGTTTTAGAGAGTGTGTGGGTTAGAAATATTGCAAGGAATGTCACAAGCAACCACAACAGAAAAGGTTGAGTGAGAGCGCAAAGCGATGGAACAATGTTCATTTAGAGACCTTCTGCTGCTCTGAACTAAAGTGAACTGAAATACTATTTGAAGTTATTTCAAATAGTATTTGAACCCAGGTCTGCTGGAATGAGTCCAATGTTCTGTGAATACCAGGAACTTAACACACACAAAAATAAGGGGTCGGGAATACGGTAAACATAGCACTACTTGGCAACGGTTAAGGGAAACATTTCACCTTTTGACCCCATCATGACAGGGCTTGTTTGTGTACTGGTAGGGTAGAAGGGGGGTCAAAAATAGAAAAGCAGCCTCGAGAGGGAGGATTCTAGGATTCTACGGCCCTCTCTCAATTTGTCTCTCCGCAATTCCTTGAATCCTTTCTCCTCACCTCCTTTTCAACCATATTGGAGGAGAAGGTCCAATGTCTCTCCCCTCGAACCCTGCTTTCCAATGCGTTTTCAGAAGGAGGCAAGAAGAGAGGAAATCGAAGAAAGATGAATTGAGAAAGAGCCTAGCTGACCTCCAGTAATCCTCCAGTGAGCTCGCTGGGGTACTCCACTGGGGCTTCTGCCTGGCTTAGGAGAGAGTTGACCAGCTCACAGAACCTGATGGAGCAATAGCACACACAAGAAACTAAATCATATAGAAAAACTGTTCAAATACATGTGAGTCATATATTCATGGACGTCACAGGAAAATCAGAGATAAATCTGCTGAAACACACACAATCAAATTCAGTACACAGCACTGTTATCAATCTTATAGGTCATGACGTATTAAAGGTGACCTTTTGATTGCCAGTTATTTGCCTTTCACTGATTCCGCAAATACTACTATGAAAACCACTTCCTATTTCCTTCCTTCTCAGAAAGTCTTGGAATTGACTGTATCCCAATACACAACACCTACCTAATAATGTACTGTATTAGCACACAATTTAAAATACACACACCTATTAATCCTCACAGAAAGGGGAGAGTGAAGCAGGCTCTATTTTCACTACGCCAGAGTAAAATAAACATTAACAGAGTTGTCATGTCAACACAATCCAATAATGTGATAATGGTTGAATGAACAGGCCCAATCTGTATGTTTTATGTGAAGAATGTGGGGAATGAATCAATGGTTGATATGGTTGGTTGTTACACCCCTTCCTGCTAGACAGCTGGGCTAAAGGGTGTGTGTGTGTGTGTGTGTGTATGTGCAAGTGTGTGTGACTCACCCTTTACAGTGCAGCTCGCTGGGAAAGCAGAGTTGGAAGTCATCTGAGTTCTCCAGGACATACAGGAAGCAGCTACGCTCGTCAAACTTTGAAACACTGAACAGGTCAAAAGGTTAAAGAGGGGGATTAGGAACTACACAACACTTCAAAGCTGACAGCGGCACCACAATGAAATAACAACAAGTATACTCAAAATACCAATGCAGGCAAACAAAGTTAAGGGAATATGAATAAAGACAAGAAAAGCCCATAATAACACATTCAATATGGGGCTCTCCAATTCAGAGAAGAACGTTTTCTTTCTATCTCGTGTAGTATACGTTTGAAGCCACCAGGTGATAGTGTTGCAAATATAAACTGAAAGGAAAGAAATCTACCTATTGCCCTGGAGGCAGTTCGGTAGGCAAAACAAGGGTAAAGTACACAGTAATATTGATCCACAGCCAAATAGACACTGACACACACACACACATCCAGTCACAGTCTTTGAAAACAGCACAGACAAAAACGCCCTGATGGCCAGTGGCCAAGTCCACCAGACAGTTAAAGTGTATAGACTCAGTAGACCTCAAGCTGCATTCAAATACTATTTGAAATCCTTTCAAATCCTTTAGCTGGGCTTGATTGAGCTTGCCTGGCACAATGGAACCAATAGAGTAGTCGCAAACCTGCAAACTCCGCCCATCTGGAAGTCCAGGCAGGCTAAAGCAAACGCTGAAATATTTCAAATATTATTTGAACTTAGGTCTGTTAGACTAGCCCTGGTAATGTGTATGGGCTGCAGGCCTGAACACGACACGCACCACAGGGCCTGGAACTTAGCCTAGAAATGTTAGCACACTCTGTACTGTCTGTTACCGTACCTCACTCCCCGGATTTGCGAGGCTGGGAAAGTCCACTGGGCTTTCTGGCCTTTCTATGGAAGGGAAGACATGGCAGACTGTTCAAAATGCTCACTCAACAGTCTAAACACACACAAAGTATGCACGCGCCTGCACACACACGCGGGCGCACACGTACCCTCATCAGGCGATGAGGCATATCTTCTTTCACCTCACCGACGTGGTGCTGTTATGAAAACACTCCACGCCTATTCTGGTTAAATACACCATTCTGTCTCACACCATTCCTGTATAACCACTTTCAATGTCTTGATAGGTTGAAAACTGTAGACCTGTACAGTATAACTCAGTAGTTAAATATCTAGGGGGTCTGTTTAGCTGCTCCCAGATCTGCTTGTGCTGTATAGCCAACTCTTATGGTCATTGTCATGCCAAACATGGTCTGTACCTTTAGGGGTGTGATGTGGTTGAGCTGAACCGTGCAGCTGTCATCCTCCTCACTCACACACACTATGGTGGGCTGGAACACTTTGGTCGGCTCCAGGATCAGAACCTGAGGAACGGCAATGGTTAATGGTGATAACAGTTCTTGGCATTAAAAGGTTACTTTTCCAAATACTTTTGCTGCAGAAAGGTACTGTACATTGTTAATGTGACAAACTCTCCCGGCAGGGTGACGCCAAGTGCCAACTTCATTAGCAATTATCTAACCATGTAATGTAAAATAGGCCCCTGACGGTGGAGTTAAATCCATGTTAAAGCAAATGTTTTTTACTGCACTGCATTTGAATGCCCAGAACTGTTATATACTAGACAGAGAGAATCTATTGAGGTCTCACAAAGCAATGTGGGTTTGAGGAACTGGGAGTACTGGGAGTGGTGGAGTCTGACAGAGTGTCTTAGCAACATGCTGCTATGCTCTAACTAAATAAAGCTGAATGTACTGGGAGCTGTGGTGAGGTCTTACTGGGCAGCGGTCAGTGGAAACAGTGGGCTTGCAGGCTTGCAGCATCAGCTCCATCCAGAAGTCCACAGTCTCCTGTTTAGCAGGTTTCACCTCTGGGGGCTTGGTGAACTGACGGTACAAGATGAACGTCTCCATGATCGAGCCCACATACCTCAAAAGAAAGATGCAAATAAGTATTTGAATATCAAAATAAAAGTTCAAAACATTGACCTTAAAGAGGCCATACCAAACTTTTGCTTAGGGGAAAGGGGTCCTCTAAATGGACAGTATATTTAACATTAAAGGTCCTGCTTCCGTGACTTCCGTCTCGCTTCCGCATTGTCTCCGTGCTGCTGTGCTGTTTGTTGCTACTTGGCTACCTGCCAAACTATTCACGTTTTACTTTTAATAAACGTTTAATCAATCTCTGTGTTCAACAAATTTACCAACTTTTTAGTTTTGTCCTCACTCATCTTTTTTTCGTTAAACTTTTTCACCCCGGACGTTTATCCCGAGACAGAAGAGTCATTTTCCTGTGCGTTTTAGCTGCCAACTTCACGTTATTTTCCTTTTTTCCATCGCAACTTTTTTCCCTTATTCAACTTTTTCACTCCGGACGCTTTATCTGGACATGGTTCATCAACATCTTCAACAGCCGAAGCTAAGTAGTAACATTAACATGATGTCTTCTAATTGCAGTCGCGTACTCATAATATACAGGAGAACGATCGCCTTACGGCGAGAATAGCTGTGCTACAAGCCCAGCTTCAGACGCAATCGTTAGGCAAGGGTAATCTCAGTGTAGGAAAGGAAGAAACAGCGTCTGTGCCACCAGTAAGTACAGACAGTAACGTTAGTATAAATCCCCCCGCACAGTCCCCGCAGCCGGACAACTTTCTCATGGCTTCTGGAGGGAAATACTGTTGGAATGCTCAACCGGTGTCGCTCATTCAGCCGACAGAAACCTTCAACCGGTTTTCCCCATTATGTAGCGAGTCGGAGTCTGAGTCTGAGTCTTCTCTAGTCTCTACTCCTCCCGTTACGGGGTCTGAGACGCCGAAGGCTCCCACCATTAGCTCTGACAAATTGAAAACCCTAGTCATTGGCGACTCCATTACCCGCAGTATTAGACTTAAAACGAATCACCCAGCGATCATACACTGTTTACCAGGGGGCAGGGCTACCGACGTTAAGGCTAATCTAAAGATGGTGCTGGCTAAAGCTAAAACTGGCGAGTGTAGAGAGTATAGAGATATTGTTATCCCACGTCGGCACCAACGATGTTAGGATGAAACAGTCAGAGGTCACCAAGTGCAACATAGCTTCAGCGTGTAAATCAGCTAGAAAGATGTGTCGGCATCGAGTAATTGTCTCTGGCCCCCTCCCAGTTAGGGGAAGTGACGAGCTCTACAGCAGAGTCTCAGCACTTAATCGCTGGTTGAAAACTGTTTTCTGCCCCTCCCAAATATAACATTTGTGGATAATTGGCCCTCTGTCTGGGACTCACCCACAACAGGACCAAGCCTGACCTGCTGAGGAGTGACGGACTCCATCCTAGCTGGAGGGGTGCTCTCCTCTTATCTACCAACATAGATAGGGCTCTAACTCCTCTAGCCCCACAGTGAAATAGGGTGCAGGCCAGGCAGCAGGCTGTTAGCCAACCTGCCAGCTTAGTGGAGTCTGCCAATAGCACAGTCAGTGTAGTCAGCTCAGCCATACCCATTGAGACTGTGTCTGTGCCTCGACCTAGGTTGGGCAAAACTAAACATGGCGGTGTTCACCCTAGCAATCTTATTAGGATAAAGACCTCCTCCATTCCTGCCATTATTGAAAGAGATCGTGATACCTCACATCTCAAAATAGGGTTACTTAATGTTAGATCCCTCACTTCAAAAGGCAGTCATAGTCAATGAACTAATCACTGATCATAATCTTGATGTGATTGGCCTGACTGAAACATGGCTTAAGCCTGATGAATTTGCTGTGTTAAATGAGGCCTCACCTCCTGGTTACACTAGTGACCATATTCCCCGTGCATCCCGCAAAGGCGGAGGTGTTGCTAACATTTACGATAGCAAATTTCAATTTACAAAAAAAAAAATGGCGTTTTCATCTTTTGAGCTTCTAGTCATGAAATCTATGCAGCCTACTCAATCACTTTTTATAGCTACTGTTTACAGGCCTCCTGGGCCATATACAGCGTTCCTCTCTGAGTTTCCTGAATTCCTATCAGACCTTGTAGTCATAGCAGATCATATTCTAATTTTTGGTGATTTTAATATTCACATGGAGAAGTCCACAGACCCACTCCAAAAGTATTTCGGAGCCATTATCGACTCAGTGGGTTTTGTCCAACATGTCTCTGGACCTACTCACTGCCACAGTCATACTCTGGACCTAGTTTTGTCCCATGGAATAAATGTTGTAGATCTTAATGTTTTTCCACAAAATCCTGGACTATCGGACCACCATTTTATTACATTTGCAATCGCAACAAATAATCTGCTCAGACCCCAACCAAGGAGCATCAAAAGTCGTGCTATAAATTCTCAAACAACACAAAAATTCATTGATGCCCTTCCAGACTCCTTCTGCCTACCCAAGGACGTCAGAGGACAAAAATCAGTTAACCACTTAAACTGAGGAACTCAATTTAACCTTGCGCAATACCCTAGATGCAGTTGCACCCCTAAAAACGAAAAACATTTGTCATAAGAAACTAGCTCCCTGGTATACAGAAAATACCCGAGCTTTGAAGCAAGCTTCCAGGAAATTGGAACGGAAATGGCGCCACACCAAACTGGAAGTCTTCCGACTAGCTTGGAAAGACAGTACCGAAGAGCCCTCACTGCTGCTCGATCATCCTACTTTTCCAACTTAATCGAGGAAAATAAGAAACAATCCAAAATTTATTTTTGATACTGTTGCAAAGCTAACTAAAAAGCAGCATTCCCCAAGAGAGGATGGCTTTCACTTCAGCAGTGATAAATTCATGAACTTCTTTGAGGAAAAGATCATGACCATTAGAAGCAAATTACGGACTCCTCTTTGAATCTGCGTATTCCTCCAAGGCTTAGCTGTCCTGGATCTGCACAGCTCTGCGAGGGCCTGGGATCGGGAGAGACACTTAATTGTTTTAGTACTATATCTCTTGACACAATGATGAAAATAATCATGGCCTCTAAACCTTCAAGCTGCATACTGGATCCTATTCCTACTAAACTGCTGAAGGAGCTGCTTCCTGTGCTTGGCCCTCCTATGTTTGAACATAATAAACAGCTCTCTATCCACCGGATGTGTACCAAACTCACTAAAAGTGGCAGTGATAAAGCCTCTCTTGAAAAAAGCCAAACCTTGACCCGGAAAATATAAAAAACTATCGGCCTATATCGAATCTTCCATTCCTCTCAAAAATTTTAGAAAGAAATTTTAGAAAAAGCTGTTGCGCAGCAACTCACTGCCTTTCTGAAGACAAACAATGTATACGAAAATGCTTCAGTCTGGTTTTAGACCCCATCATAGCACTGAGACTGCACTTGTGAAGGTGGTAAATGACCTTTTAATGGCGTCAGACCGAGGCTCTGCATCTGTCCTCGTGCTACTAGACCTTAGTGCTGCCTTTGACACCATCGATCACCACATTCTTTTGGAGAGACTGGAAACCCAAATTGGTCTACACGGACAAGTTCTGGCCTGGTTTAGATCCTACCTGTCGGAAAGATATCAGTTTTGTCTCTGTGAATGGTCTGTCCTCCGACAAATCAACTGTACATTTCGGTGTTCCTCAAGGTTCCGTTTTAGGACCACTATTGTTTTCACTATATATTTTACCTCTTGGGGATGTTATTCGAAAACATAATGTTAACTTTCACTGCTATGCGGATGACACACAGCTGTACATTTCAATGAAACATGGTGAAGCCCCAAAATTGCCCTCGCTAGAAGCCTGTGTTTCAGACATAAGGAAGTGGATGGCTGAAAACTTTTTACTTTTAAACTCGGACAAAACAGAGATGCTTGTTCTAGGTCCCAAGAAACAAAGAGATCTTCTGTTAAATCTGACAATTCATCTTGATGGTTGTAAAGTCGTCTCAAATAAAACTGTGAAGGACCTCGGCGTTACTCTTGACCCTGATCTCTCTTTTGACGAACATATCAAGACTGTTTCAAGGACAGCTTTTTTCCATCTACGTAACATTGCAAAAATCAGAAATTTTCTGTCCAAAAATGATGCAGAAAAATTAATCCATGCATTTGTTACTTCTAGGTTAGACTACTGCAATGCTCTATTTTCTGGCTACCCGGATAAAGCACTAAATAAACTTCAGTTAGTGCTAAATACGGCTGCTAGAATCCTGACTAGAACCAAGAAATTTGATCATATTACTCCAGTGCTAGCTTCCCTACACTGGCTTCCTGTTAAGGCAAGGGCTGATTTCAAGGTTTTACTGTTAACCTATAAAGCGTTACATGGGCTTGCTCCTACCTATCTTTCCGAGTTGGTCCTGCCGTACATACCAATACGTACGCTACAGTCACAAGACGCAGGCCTCCTAATTGTCCCTAGAATTTCTAAGCAAACAGCGGGAGGCAGGGCTTTCTCCTATAGATCTCCATTTTTATGGAACAGTCTGCCTACCCATGTGAGAGACGCAGACTCGGTCTCAACCTTTAAGTCTTTACTGAAGACTTATCTCTTCAGTAGGTCATATGATTGAGTGTAGTCTGGCCCAGGAGTGTGAAGGTGAACGGAAAGGCTGGAGCAACGAACAGCCCTTGCTGTCTCTGCCAGGCCGGTTCCCCTCTCCACTGGGGTTCTCTGCCTCTAAACCCTGTTGCAGGGGCTGAGTCACTGGCTTGCTGGTGCTCTTTCATGCCGTCCCTGGGAGGGGTGCGTCACTTGAGTGGGTTGAGTTACTGACGTGATCTTCCTGTCTGGGTTGGCGCCCCCCCCTTGGTTGTGCTGTGGTGGAGACCTCTGTGGGGCTATACTCGGCCTTGTCTCAGGATTGTAAGTTGGTGGTTGGGGATATCCCTCTAGTGGTGCGGGGGCTGTGCTTTGGCGGAGTGGGTGGGGTTATATCCTTCCTGTTTGGCCCTGTCCGGGGGTTTCTTCGGATGGGGCCACAGTGTCTCCGGACCGCTCCTGTCTCAGC